TATAGCTCAGAAAAAGGTATTCTCTTTCTATTCCCATTCACTTTTCTTCAGAGATCTATTATATCGAAATTTTCTAAGATTCTATTCATCTCCTTAAATTCTTTCTTATTTAATTTATGGTTAAATTTATCTAGCTCTGAGAAAGGAAAGTTGAGGTCTTACATGAGTATAGTTTTACTGTTGATTTCCTCCTCTAACTCATTTAACTTTTCCTTTTAGAATTTGGATGCTATGCCATTTGGTGCATATGTTTCATATTAGCATTACTTCATTATCTATGGTACTTTTTAGTAAGATGTAGTTTCCCTGATTATCTCTTTTAATTAGGTCTATTTTTACTTTTGCTTTGTTTGAGAGCATGATTTCTACTGCTGCCTTTTTTACTTCAGCTGAAGCATAATAGATTCTGCTCTAGGCCCTTATTTTAACACTGTCTGTGTCTTTTTGTTTCAAGTTTGTTTCTTGTGAATAACATATCGTTGGATTCTGTTTTCTAATACATTCTGCTATCTGCTTCCATTTTATGGGTGAGTTCATCCCATTCACATTCACAGTTACTAACTGTGAATTACTATGATTACTAACTATGGATATCCCTCCATCCTATTTTCTTTTGTTTATCCATCTCTCTTCCTCTCTCTCTCTCTCTCTCTCTCTCTCTCTCTCTCTCTCTCTCTTTTATCCTGTTCCTACTCAGAATGACCACTACCCCCCTCTCACTTGTACCTTTTCCCCTTTCTTTCTTCCTTTCCTGTTGGGTAAGAGAGATTTCTGTACCCAACTGAGTGTATGTATGTATATGTATACATACATATTCTTCCCTCTTTAAAACAATTCAGATGAGAGTGAGGTTCAAGCATTGCTCATCCTCCTCCCAATATTTTCTCCTCTGCTGTGAAGCTCTTCTTTGCATGCATTTTTTTATGTAAGATAATTTCCCCCATTCTTCCTCTTTCTTCCCCCTTCTCCCAGTGGATCCCTCTTTCTAGCCCATGCATTTTTTTAGATCATGCCTAAATAATTGACTCACTCCTATGTCCTTTGTTTATGTTCAGCCCTTTTAACTGCTCTAATAACAATAAGTTCTTAGAAGTTACATGTATCATCTTCTCATATAGAAATGTAAACAGTTTTACCTTATTGAGTCCATTATAATTTCTCTTTCATGTTTACCTCCTTTTGCTTCTCTTGAGTCTTCTATTTCAAAGTCAAATTTTCTATTCAACTCTTGTCTTTTCATCAGGAATGCTCAAAAGTTCTCTATTTCATTAAATATTCATTTTTCCTCCCTGAAGGATTATACTTAGTTTTGCTGGGTAGGTTATTCTTGGTTCTAATCCTAGTTCTTTTGCCTTCTAGAACATCATATTCCAAGCCCTCTGCTTCTTTAATGTGGTAGCTGCTAAATCTGTGTGATCTTGACTGTGACTTAATGGTATTAATTTTTTTTTTCTTTTTGGCTACTTGAAGTATTTTCTCTTTGACCTGGGAGCTCTGAAATTTGGCTACAATATTCCTAGGAGTTTTCATTTTGGGATCTATTTCAGGTGGTGATCAATGGATTTTTTTCAATTTCTATTTTATGCTCTGGTACTAGGATATTTAAAGCTATTTTTCTTTATAATTTCTTGAAATATTATGTCTCGGCTCTTTCTTTGATCATGGATTTCAGGTAGTTAAATCATTCTCAGATTATCTCTCCTTGATCTATTTTCCAGGATAGTTATTTTTCCAATGAGCTATTTCACATTTTTTTCCTATTTCTGTATTATTTTGTTTTTGCTTTATTGTTTCTTGATATCTTGTAAGGCCACCAGCTTCCTCTTGCCCAATTCTAATTTTTAAGAAATGATTTTCCTCAGTGAGCTTTTTTATTTCTTTTTCCATTTGGCCAATTCTGCTTTTTAAGGAGTTTTTTCATCAGTGAAGTTTTGTATTTCTCTTACTATTTGACCAGTTCTGTTTTTTAAGGAGTCTTTTTTCAGTATTTTTTGTGCCTCTTTTACCAAGCTATTGTCTTTTCATAATTTTTTTGCCTCATTTATTTTCCAAATTTTTCCTCTACCATTCTTATCTGATTTTTTAAAATTTAATTTTCTTTATTTTTTGTTACACTTTAAGTTTTGAACTGTCTTCCTCTGTCTCCCTCTTTCCCATACTGGAGAAGGCCACCATTTAACACAGATTAATAAACACATGTAAAATAACACTAAGTGTACTTTTATTTATCAGTTATTTCTCTGGAGGTGGATAGCATCTTCTTTCACATTTCCTTTATTGTGGATTTGAGTATTTATAGTACTTAGAATAACTTGGTTGTTCACAATTATTATTCAAACAATATTGCTGTTAATGTATACAATGTTCTCTTGGTTCTGCTCATTTCGCTTTTCATTATGTCATGAAAATCTTTCCATGTTTTTTTCTAAAATCAACCAGTTCATCGTTTCTTACATCATAGTAGTATTCCATCACAATTATATACCACAACTTGTTTAGTCATTCCTCAATTGATAGGCATCCTCTAAATTTCCAATTCTTTGCTGTCACAAAGAGAGCTGCTATAAATATTTTAGATCATATAAGTTCTTTTACTTTTTCCCTGATCACCTTGGGAAAGACACCTAACAGTAGTCTTTCTAGGTCAAGGGGTATCCCCAATTTTATGACTCTTTGGGCATAATTCCAGATTGCTCTCCAAAATGGTTGGGTCATTTCACAGTTCTACTAATATTGTATTCATGTCCCAATTTTTCCATATCCCCTTCAATATTTGTCATTTTCCCCTTCTATCATTTTAGCCAATCTAATAGGTGTGAGATATCTCAAAGTTGTTTTAATATGCATTTCTGTAATAAATAGAGCATTTTTATATGATTATGCATAGCTTTGACTTCTTTATTAAAAAAAAAAAGCACCTGCCTTTTCATATCCTTTGACCATTTATCAATTGGGGAATGACTCATATTCTTATAAACTTGACAAGTTCTCTATATATTTTGAGATATGATACTTTTGTCCAAGAGACTGTAATTTTTTTCTCCAAGTTTTCTGCTTTCCTTCTAAAAGCTTTTTAATTTAATGTAATTAAAATTATCCATCTCTTGTTTATTCACAAATTCTTCTCTTCTCCATAAGTCTGATAGATGTGTTTCATGTTTTTCTAGTCTTCTTATGATATCTCCCTTTATAGCTGGCTCATGTATCCATTTTGACCTTATCTTGTTAAATGATGCAAGACACTGATCTATATCCAATTTTTGTCAGACTGCTTTCCAGTTTTCTCAACTTTTTTTTTTTACCAAATAGTGTATTCTTATCCCCAAGGCCTAAATCTTTACATTTGCCAAACATAAAGTTACAATAATCATTTACTACTATATGTTATATTTCTACTCTGTTCTGCTGATCCACCTTTTTATTTCTTAGCCAGATAGTTTTGATAGTTACTGCCTTATAATATAGTTTAAGATCTGATACTGTTAAATCTCCTTCCTTTACTTTTTTTTTTATTAATTCCTTTGATATTCTTGACCTTTTGTTTTTCCAAACGAATTTTATTATTACTTTTTCTAGCTCAATAAAATAATTTTTTGGTAGTTTAGTTGGGGTGGCATTGAATAAATAGATTGATTTAGGTAAAACTTATTTTTATTATATTGGCTCTACCCACCATGAACAATTAATATTTCTCTAATAATTTATTTAAATATACCTTTATTTGTATTAAAAATGTTTCATAATTATGTGCATGTAGTTCCTGTGTTTGTCTTGGCAACTTTACTCCCAGGTATTTTATACAGTCTACAATTGTTTTAAATGGGGTATATCTTAGTGTCTCTTCTTGCATGGTTTTGTCGGTGATATGTAGAAATGCTGATTGATTCATGTGGGTTTATTTTATAATGTAGGTGTCTATGTGTTTATTTTATTTTATTTTGAAAATAATTTTTAGCTCTTCCAGGGATTCTTGTTGGGCGTGTATCCAATTCACATTTTTCTTGGGGAGGGGGAGGGAGTTGCTTGTAGCTGTTTTGACATCATTTTCTCCTGAGTTTGTGTCTTGATCTTCCCTGTTGCTATAGTAGTTTCTTATGGTAACGCTATTTTTTGTTATTGCTGCTTGCTTATTTTTTTACCCTATTTCTGGACTTTGAACTTTATTTTAAAATTGGACTCTGTTTCTGGGGTGAAGGTGCAGGAGCATTGTCCTGTTTCAGGCTTTTTCACACTTCTGTTTTCAGAGCCAGTTCTGTGGCTTCAAGGTTTTCAGTGTTTTTTAAGGTGGTCGGATCTGGGGAGAGGTGTGGTCGTTGCTCTGCTGGAATGCTCTCTGGTCCTTACCCGGGAAGGGCCCCTGCTCCATTACAAGGCACACAACATACTACTCCTTAGCGCCTCTTTCCCCTGTACCCTGTGATGTTATTCCTCAAGGCCCCTGCTCCCTTATGACCCAAAGCATTCTCCTCTGGCCTGGAATTGTGATGCAGAAGTTGATACAGGCAATGGAGTTGCCAAACAGCACTGGTCCTGTGCCTGGACCTAGCACAGATATCCCATGTAATCTCTTTCTTACCAACTGCCTAATCCCCTTACCACGTCTGGCTTGGGAGCTCCCGAAACAGCTGCTGTTGCTAATGCTGCCTCCAAGACCTAGAGCTGGTGTTGCTGCCTTATGGCCTCTGGACTAGCCCCTACACCAGTGTCACAGACCTCTCTTTTTGCCCTTCTGACTTATCTTCAAAAATGTTTCACCTCATTCTTTTGCTGGCTTTGCTGCTCCAGAATTCAATTTGAGGCTTCATTTTAAAATTGTTTGGAAGGGAGTGTTGAGAGAACTCGACTATAGTGCTTCCTGTACATGGCTTCACCCTCAGAAATTTCCCATCATTTCTTTAGACAACTCCTCCTTTTCACATATAGCTTATTACTTTCCACCTGGTTTTTAAACTAGTTATTGTATGATAAGGTTTTGCTAAATTTGTATTTTTCCTTTTCAGACATCTGTGTACACTTCAACAGCTTCAGCTTCATCTAGAAAAAATTCCTTGAATTCAGCAAATAATAAATCAAAAGGAGAAATTGACGAGGGGAAGAAAAGCTTGATAGATGACCTCAGGTTACTGGTTTTTGACTTATTGAATGTCGTAGAAGTAATCAAAAGGGAACATGGGTAAGTCTTGCTTTTTTCTCTATGGGTATTAAGATTTCTGCTCTGTCAGAGCCAGAAAAACATATAATCTATTGCCCTTACTTAAATAGCTTCTAAAAATAGGTTAGGATATTTTATCCCTGTAAGAGAACATATACATATAATTCAGTGCATACTCAAACCACTTGTCTGAAATACTACTCCATATCAACATAATTTTGTTGTAGGTTATCTCTCTCTAATTAACAAGTAAAATGTGCTTTTGCAGGTAATGGAAAATTTAAACAATGATTGTCTCCTGCTGTGTAAAACTACAGTCCTTTTGGGAAAATGGTTCTCAATAGTCTTTTATTAGAAAGGAGATATATTTATCTATACCTTCAGGCTGTGTTCTGTATAAAATTTGTTATTATTGTTCAGTTGTTTTAGTCATGTCAAACTCTTTGTGACCCATTTTGGGATTTCCTTAGTAAAGATACTGGAATGGTTTGCCATTTCCTTCTCCAGCTCATTTTACAGATGAGGAACCGAAGCAAACAAGGTTAAGTGACTTGTCCAGGGTCACGCAGTTAGTAAATGTCTCAGTCTGGATTTGAACTCATGAAGATGAGTCTTCCCAACTCCAAGCCTAGTGCCTTATTCACTCTACCACCTAGCTGCTCCAGTATAAAATTTAGGAAGTGTTATTTATTTAGAAGAGTTACTTTCCCTTACAGTTAAAATAATGCAAACCCTGTACTTACTAAAAGTTTCTTACTCATTATATTTTTCATAAGGCATGTTGAGAACATTCTCTTCTAGTGTACATTGTAAAAATTATCCCAAAATGTCACATTGATTTTTCTTGATAATTTTTTATGTGTTCTACTATGGAAGGAAGAAGGACTATGTAGTTTTAAAATAGCATATTTAAGGAGCCACAAAATTTGAAGTATAAGCTATGCAATGCTAATGCATAAACCAGGCTAAGCATATAGTAGTTTAATAAATGCTAATAAATGCTTGCTAGGTGAATGATGGGACAGTTAGGTTGCACAGTGAATAGAGTCTGAAGTCAAGAAGACTCATTTTTCTGATTTCAAATCTAGCCTTAGACACTTCTAGCTGTGTGGCCCTGGCCAAGTCACTTAATCCTGTTTGCCTCAGTTTCCTTATCTATAAAATGAGCTGGAGAAGGAAATGGCAAACTGCTCCAGTATCTTTGCCAAGAAATCCCCAAATGGGGTCACGAAGAGTCAGACATGACTGAAAAATGACTAAACAACAACAGCTGGTACTTATAGGAAATATTTCCTACTTGAAGTAAAGTATATCTTTTTTGAGCTTATTTGGCTCTTTGAGGCAGAAATCCTAGATTTTATACGTTATTACAAAAATAAATATATAAGTATATGGTAATTTTAAAAGTTTAGGAACCCCTGGTTTGTAGATTTGGATTTCTCAACATTTTTTGTTGATAAAATTTGGCTAGGCCTGGTGACACATGCTTGGAGTCGTGGTCCTGGGTAGGTTGAGGATGGCGCATCTCTTGAGTTCAGGAGTTCTAAGCTGCCCTAAAATTAAGGCCGATCAGCTGTCTGTAGTAAATCTAGCGCCAATATGGTAAGCTCTTATGAATGGAGGGCTAGCAGGCTACTTAGGAGTAGCAAATGGGATCAAGTCAGAGACCAAGTAGATCAAAGCTTCTGTGAGTGGCTGCTGAGCTCTCAGCCTAGGTGAGATAAGGAGAAGGAGCTTTAAATCAGTAAATTCAGTCTGTTTTTATTATCTCAGGAACAGCCAACATATATATGTACTTATCATACTTCAAGGATCTGTAATTTCACCTGTATGCCTTTAGTTGTCTTTCACCAATGTAGTTTGTAACCTCGGTACCTTAAAAGATGCTCATAATTAGTTTCAGTAATGGAAAACATTGTTCACCTGATGATAAGCCTCTTCCAACTTAGCTGGGCCGGCCTTTGAAGGACAAGCATCTAGTCCATCACTATTCTGTCTTCAAAGGCTTCCAAGCTTGTTGTAATATGCCAGAGTTTATATCCTGAAGGCATGGCTTTCAAAAACCCAGTCTTAATCCACACTGAATTGAGGTATCAGACTTGAGGGGAAGGTAAATCCGTATATGTGTCTATATATATATACATACATACACCCACACACCCACACACATAGAGAGAGAGACACACACACACACACACACACACACACACACACATATATATAGATATATATGGACACACATATATATATACACATGTATATAATTGGTTGTTGAATTGGCAGTTGTATAGACTTTTCCTTTATGTAGTTAAGACTACAATTATGTTTTGATCAATATAGTCTTGCCTTTTTACTTTGTTATATATTTAGGTACATTTGAGTTATAAAGTTTATGGGGATCTCAACCAGAAATTTATCATATTTTGTCTTTTCAAGATGATCAGTTTTAGTTATGTGAGTACTGTAAAGGAGTACTTAGTTTAGACCACTAAAAGTTTCTTTCTCCTAGTTAAAAATCTGCCCTAGTGTGGTAGGTGGATTGATGGCATGAGGTTTTCTTGAACTTTGCACTAAATTCTATTAGATATTTACAATCTTATGAAACAGAAAATATTTGATCTATGCTGAATGTATACAAGTAGGAATATCACTGACCTTTCCCAGCACTGATTTTACCCAATGAATTATGCGTTAGGTCTGACAGATCAACTGAAGAAGACCATATTAGCTGAATTTATAAACTTCATTCAAAGCTTCCTAAGAATTTTTTTTTTTACTTTTCTTTAATTTTGTTATTAAAAAGTCTGGTCACATTGTAGGTTTTTAGGATTTTTTTGTTTTAAAAAAACTTTCAATTAATATTTAAGAATTTGGACTAGAAATTTAAACTGTGCACATATCAACAGATGGCTATTTTCAGTTCTACACACACATATAAAGTTATTATTACTTTTTTTAGGAAGGAACTGGAAAAACTAAGAAGGGAATTGGAAGAGGAGAAGGGAATGAGGAGTATCCTAGAGGTAATTCAATTTTGCAGTATTTTGTCATCAAAATGAGGATATTAGTGAGTGCTAAACAAACATGCTGAGTATCGTACTTTATACTGTTGAAAGATGGGTTTTTGTTTTGTTTTTAAATTTTTAAAGGAGAGAGAAGCAGGCAGCTTGGCATAGTGGATAGAAAGTTAGTGTCAGTCAGGAAGACCTCAGTTCAAGGCCCATCTTTGACATTTACTGACTATGTGACCCTGAGCAAGTCATTTAACTTCTCAGTGCTTCAGGCATCTGTCTTAAGACTGTAAATAAAGTTGCCTATTAGAATTGGTGGAGGGAATTTCTTGATTGGGAATCCACTATACCAGTAAAATCACGTGGGAGAGGGAGGAGAGGAAAAAAAAATATTATTGAAGTTTGGTTCTGTCCTCCAGCAAATTGTATCCTAGTTGGGAAACAGAATATGAAAAAAATTGTTTTCTATGCATTTATCTCATCATGTTTTCAAGTGCTAAGTCCTGGCATATTTTCCTTCATTACAAAGTGATGGACATTTGCAATAGGTTTTAGTTCTTTCCTCCACTCTCTTCCCATCCAATTTATCCTTCCCAGTGTTGCTAAACTAATCTTCCTTGTACATGTATCTGGTCATTATTCCTTTGCTAGAAACCTTTCGGTGGTTCCCTATTGCTTGCCAAGTAAAGTTCTAGAAACTTATCTTGGCATTCAGTCTTCCACAGTGTGGAGTCTAATGAACTTTGCAGCCTTATTTCATAATGAATCCCCTTCTCTTACTGTCTACTTCAGCCAAACTGGACTATTTGCCTTCTCATACATAAATTTCATATTTTTCTGAAGTCCTTTCCTTAAACTCCCCAAATTTCTGCCTATCCTTTCAAGCCCAAGTCAGATGTCAGCATGGATCTCCTTTGGCTGTGAATTCCACAGTCCATGTTTTTCCATTATCTCACAAAAAGATCTGAAGCTTAATTAGTTTTTACTTATTATATCTATTCAGTTAAACAACCTTATCAAACACATACTATGCCATGAGTGAAACAACAAAAAAGAAATTTTGAATAAGTCCTAGTGCCTGTTTCTTAAGCAGCTTAGAGTATAAGTCTCTATAGATGATAAATAAATAATTATATGACTAACACAGAGAGACAGAGACAGAGAGAGAATTGAAAATTAAAATAGAGAACCAGAAAACCCATATGATCATTTTCCTCACACGGTAAAGACACTATTGAATTGTGCTACGTGTTTTAGCACCAACCATCTTAAGATTTTCTAACTTTACATACAAAGTACCATACATGTATAATAACATATAAACACAGTGTATAAGTCCACACACATGATTTCTAGGCATCTGTGAGAGGAGATAGCATCTACAGATAAACACTTAAATGTCTAATATTTGCTCTTCAGCTATTCCTTCAATGTCTTATTACAAGGGTTACCTGACTTCCTTTTATCATCTTCTGGCCCTCACCAAGACTCCGCTCCCTCCTAAAAACATTGCTTCCCTCCCTACCTTTTCCAGTTTGGCTATTTTTCTTTCCCATAATGCCCTCCCTCTCCCAATCTCACTGATCTGTCTGGGAATCAGAATACTCATTATTCTTCAGTCTCATTTCCAGTCTCTCCCTCTACTAGGTTAAGTAACCTTTCCTTTTGTGACATTCACACTTCAGATTTATCACCCAATCCACAGACCAATGAGCCTTATTTTGACACCCTACCCCCAGACATTTTGCATTCTTCCTCATTGAATTCTGTGCCCAATTCATAGTCTTTCTTTCCTGGTGACCTATACACTGACTCTTCCCAGTTTCTCATTCTACTCCCACAGACTTGATCCTATCCTTTGATGTGAATGTTACCTACCAGGGTTCTACTTCAACAGCATGAATTCTACAATTCCTTTATTTGTGCATAACTTTTGATCACTAGGCCTTTCCCTCAACTATACAACCCCTTACCCTCTTCTTCATCTTCACCATGGCTTCACCATCTTCACTATTCCTTCCATTAGTCATTTCTTACCCAGGCCATCATCCTACCCTATTTTCTCCCTTCCATATATTGAGCCTTTGGTTAACCATCTCAGCTCTCCCCTCTCCTCTCAAAACCGTAGGCCCCTCATCATGTTGCCACTACATCTTACCAAACCCCAGCGATTGATCACTTCACTTTTCTCTTTCTTTGGCTTCTATTTATAGAATAGAGTTGAAGGAAATTAAGAAACTGTGTAGACTAGATTCTGTATAAATTAGTTATATAACCTCAACTGGGCTCTCAGTGAAGCAAGGTGAATATTTTTTCCTTCCCTAATCAACTCACACTCTCTGCAGGAAATGGCTAACTCAAAAAGTTTCAGGGGATTAATCCGAAATCACATGTTGATTCCATTACACAGAGTAGGAGCTTTTTTATTGCTTCTTGACTGACTGTTGACTCCAAGCTTCTTTCTTTATTGAACTAGGATAACATTTACCTTCTGTAAGTGTGAAATCTTTGTACAAGTTTTCAGTGCCTCCTTACCATAGTACTGGTTCATGTGTCTATTTCTTATCATGTTCATGGGAATTAAACTTCAGGTGTTTTAAGATAATGTGACCTGATGACTGATTTTTTCATTGTTGAAAATGTAAAAAGATTAAGATGTAAGACTTAGGGATATGACAGAGAAGCTTTAATACAGCCAAGATGCCACTGTTACTTATGCTCTGTTTTTCTTTTTTAGGTGGAGATTGAAAAGCTGAAAAAACTAGTCCTGTCTGTTTGAGGGAGGTGTGATAGACTCAGTGTTCTTCTTTGGCCAGGGATTCATAAACGAGAATATGAACTGAAAACTGACTTGTTTACTTCCCAGTAACAAAGGATTTTTGGTGTGCTATAGAAAAAAAAATAAGTACATGAGTTTTAATATCTTATAGAAGGGGAAAAATGAAAATAGTGTATTTTATTTTATTGGCCAAAATGAAAAAGAGACGTTATTTCCTATGCAAAGTCTTTTTTTCCTGGTTTGCTTAAAAGTATTACTGAATCTGTATAAAAAGGAGAGGAAGTTGGTAACAGATTTTTATTGAATACTGACAGTATAATTTTTTAAAGAGGTCTATACTATTAATAGATTGATATTATCTGCAGGTAACCTATTAAAATGGACTGTGGGAGGGACACATTAGCTTAATAATCATCAACGTATAGTAATTACTTTTCCCATAATACAAAAAGTACAATAGGGTATTTGTGTATACACACACACACACACACATATACACACATATATATATACATACACACACATACATATATATATATACATAGACATACACAAAGATAAATATGTGTGTGTGTATTTTTTTTAGCTTTCCTACCCAAGATTACACTGTTGTGCCTATATGTCTTCAGTGCTATTTATCATTTGGGTGATGAAACAGAAATATGTCAGCTATAAAGCAGATCCTTAATCACTTATGCAGACAAATATATATCATAATATAAATTACATACATATATAATCATAAAAGGAATTTATTAAACCATATTTCAGTCATTAAATCTATTTTTTAAAGAATAAGATTTTCTTAAATCAGTCAGAGCTAAGAGGCCAGAAAGCTGTCCTTCAATTCAGTGTGCCTAGAAACTGCAACACATTTAACATGCAAACACCAGCCTTATGCTGTATTTCTCTGCTTATTTTGTAGATTCAAATATTACCTAGCCTGTGGTCTTATAATTTAATCATCCCCACCTATTAACAAAAAAGTGCAAATATTTAGGAAATTTGTCATGAGTTCATAATTTCAGAGCAGTCAATTCATCATGTAAATATTCAATTTAGGAAATATTTACCTAATTAAACTAAGTAACTTTTTAGAGTTGTTTTGAATTGTTGTGTAGAAACTAACTTTATAAGAATGGTATTTTACTTCACAGACCATAGTATCACATTTGTTATTAAACATAATATTATCCTTTATCAAACTTACATTTTCATAAATAACGTGGTCAGCAATTCTTTTAAATTTGTGAATATTGACACAGTTTAAAAACATATAATAATAATATCTAACATTTATATAGCACTTGCTATATGCTAAGCACCTTATAATTACTATCTCATTTGATTTTCACAATAGGCACAGAGAGGTTAAGTGACTTGTTTAGAGTCACATAGTTAGTGAGTATCTAAGGCCTAATTTGAGCTCAGGTGTTCCTGACCCCAGGCCCAGTGCTGTATCCACTTAGTGAACTAGCTCCCTGTTATCTTTATAATATGTCAAAACCCACAAATATAGATATAGTCCTACCTAGGATTTATTGAAACAGTTTACTGGTAACTAATGTCTTTTCGCAAAAAGAGGCAGTTTAGGATTTAAGGTTGACTATAGAAAATGATGGATAGAGCACCAGGGCTGGAATCAGGAAGACTTGAGTTCTAATTTGGTCTCAAATACTAATGATTTGACCCTGGGCAAGTCACTTAACCCTGGTTTGCCTCAGTTTCCTCCTCTGCAAAGTGAACTGGAGAAGGAAGAGACAAGCCATTCCAGTATCTTTGCGAAGGGAACCCCAAATGGGATCACAGAGTTGGACACGACTGAACTGACTGAACAACAACAAATAACAAAATAAAAAATGGCCTATGGATTCTCAGTTTATGTAAGTACAAGACTTGCAGGATGATAAAATGGCAATATGCCAGAGTGTTTCCATTTTTATTTTCTGTTCTTTAAACTTAAAACTCACTACAGGATTTTGCTTTAAAATTTAATTTTGTACAACTAAAATGTTTTGTTTTTAGTAGAGGATAATAAAAATACTGATTAACAGAAAATGTTGAAATAATACATAATATTGCTTTTGGGGTAGCTGATCTTGAGTTAAATATTTGTGTTTCTTCTTTATGAAGGTCACATATTTCTGTCCTAATGACATCACCACTAAACAGAATTGACTATCGGTATTCCGGTTGCATTTTAAAAATGACTGAGGGGGCAGCTAGGTGGCACAGTGGATAGGGCACTGGCCCTGGGTCAGGAGAACCTGAGTTCAAATTCAGCCTCAGACACTTAACACTTAGCTGTATGACTCTGGGCAAGTCACTTAACTCCAGTTGCCTCACCAAAAAAAAAAAAAAAGAAGACTAAGCAAGTGAATGATTATTTTTATTTATTTATTTATTTATTTGCAATCCCTTGCCCTCTTTTTTTCTTTTTAAAAATATTTTATTTCATTAAATATTTCTTAATTGCATGTAAAATGTTTTTAACATTCATTTTTTAAAATTTTGAGTTCCACATTCTCTCCCTCCCTCCCATTTATCCTCCACCTCTTGAGAACCTTTCCCTTATTTTGAATGACGGTGTTAAAGAAAAAAAAAATAGATCTGTGTATACCAGAAATGATCTTCTAGCTTTCTCTCCAGAAAGCATATTTAAGGAAGTTTTTCCTCCTCATGCCTTAAAAGACGTTGAGAAATTACAAATTCTTTCCTTGAATAGGTTGTATTTAATATCAAGGTCATTCATATGTTGATTGAAACATATCAAGAAAACTAACATGTTTAAAAATAGATTTGCTATATATATATGTGAAAGTCTCTGGTATTCTTTAGCTCTCCTACTCCTAACTCCTTTTTCAACAGATAAGGAAAAGAAAATCAACTGCATTAAGTGGCCTCAACTTATTTGACTCCATTTAAAGAAGAAAAATATTCTTTCAATATAGCAATTCATCGGTACAGTTTTGGTAAATAACAGGATGTCACCAGAAATTCCTATTCATGAGAACTATATTATCACATTACTGTATGTAGAAATACTGTATGTAGGAATGTGGAATTTGAATTCAGAGAGAGGTACAATTCTCATGCATTGATTAAATACTTTTAAAAGGTGTGCACATAAGCATAAAGCTTTGAGTCAACTGCATGATATCTATAGTAGCCATTAAAATCTTGAATTATCTGAGAATGTACTGCATGTCCAAATAACAGTGTAATGCATTGATTTCATTTTAATTTAATTTCCTAAAAGCATCAAAAATTGAACACTTCCAATTTTAAGAATATTTGTTGTGTCTGTAAAATTTCTTTTTTTAATTAAAAGTATTACCTTTTAAGATGTATTTGATGGTGCAAATAGAAAAGTAGGCATGGTGTCATAGAAATGTACTTTCTATATTTCTCACTGTGATCATAGAAGAAAGAAATGTGCACCAGGTTATTTTGAAAAATCTTGTCCATATGAAAACTTACAATGGATGAACAGAATAAGATAATCAGTTAAACTCAGAAATGAAAGGTTGCAATAATTGAATGGCCTTGTTTTGCTGTAAGAATAAAATAACCGAGTATAATGACTCAATTTAATGAACTCATCTTTTGAAAGGGACTTCTATGAGTATTTTTAATCAATCAATAAACATTTATTAAGTACCTATTATGGGCTAGGTATTGTGGCACCAGAGATGAGCACTGGGGATAAAAAAAAAAAATAGGCAAAAGGTATACCTTGTCCTCAAGGAGCTTACAGTCCAAAGGGGAAGACAACATGCAAACACATATATACAAAGTAAGTTATATATGGGATAAATATAAAATAATTAACACAGGAAAGTATTGGAAATAAGAAGGGCTGGGGAAAGTGCCCCATAGAAGGAGGTATTTTAGTTAGGACTTAAAGGAAGCCAGGGAGGCCAGTAGTTGGTGTGGAGGCAGGAGTGCTTTCCAGGTATGGGGGATAACCAGAGAAAATGCCCAGAGCTGAGAGAGGGAGTGTCTTATCTGTAGGATAGCCAGAATGCCAACGTCACTGAATCGAAGATCTTATACCTTACATGTTGGTAAGGTATAAGAAGACTGGAAAGGTAGGAGAAGACTAGGTTATGAAGGGCTTTGGATGCCTAATAGACCATTTTGTGTTGCTCCAGGAGGCAATAGGGAGCCCATGAAGTTTATCAAGTTTGTGTGTGTGTGTGTGTGTGTGTGTATGATATGAGCAGACCTGAGTTTTACAAAAATCTCTTTGTGTCTGGAGGATGGATTGGCATGGGGAGAGACTGAAGACAGGCAGACCCACTGGCAGGTTATTGTAATAATCAAGGCATGGCATGATGAGGACCTGCACCGGAGTGGTGGCAGTGTCAGAGGAGAGAAGGGAGTATATTTGAGAGATGTTTCGATGGTGAAACAGGCCTTGGAAACAACTTGGATGGGGGGGAGGAGGATAAGAGCTAGTGAGGAGTCCAGGATGACTCCTAGGTTGTGAGCCTGAGACTTGGAGGATTTGTGTTGCCCTCTACAGTAATAGGGAACGTTTAGGGGCAAAGATAATGAGTTCAGTTCTGGACATGTTTCATTTCAGTTGTCTACTGGGTATTCAATTCAAGATATCTGAAAGGCAGTTGGAGAAGTGAGATTTGAGGTCAAAAGAGAGATTTGGACAGGAAAGGTAGATTTGAGAATCATCAGCATAAAGATGGTAATTAAATTCATGGGAGCTGATGAGATCACCAAATGAAGTAGTACAGAGGGAGAAGAGAAGAGAGCCCAGGGCAGAACCCTGTAGGACACCTATGGTTAGAAGGCTTGATCTGGATGAAGATCCACAAAAAGGAGACTAAAAAGGGGTGATCAGATAGGAGGAGAACCAGGGGAGAGTGGTGTTCTGAAAACCTAGAGGGAAGAAAGTATCAAGGAGAAGAGGGTGATCAACAGTGTTGGAGCCTGCAGAGAAGTCTAGGAGAATGAGGATTGAGAAAAGCCCGCTGGATTTGGCAATTAGATCTTTGGTAACTTTGGAGAGAGCAGTTTCATTAGAATGATGAGGTCAGAAGCCAGATTGTAAGGGGTTAAGGAGAGAGAGAGAGAGAGAAGAGAAAGTGGAGGCAGCTATTGTAGATGGCCCTTTCAAGAAGGTTAACTGCAAAGGGCGGAAGAGATATAGGATGACAGTAGCAGTGATGGAAGGATCAAGTTACAGTTTTTAGCTAGGGAAGTGGAGGTCAACAGGTAAAGTTAGCAGTGCTTCTGCAATTGCCCCAACTTCCTGAGACCTATGGCTTCTTAGTGTTAGTGGAGTTGAGCTAGCATTAGAAAGAACTAGATAGGTAGAGCTAGCATTTATATAGTCTGTGAAGGTTTGCAAAGTATGTCTCATTTGATTTTCACAACAACCCCAGGAGGTATGTGCTATTATTACCCTCATTTTACAGATGAGAAGGAAGCTGTGGTAGATGGGTTAAGTGACTTGCCCTGGTTCATACAGCTAGCATATGTCTGGATTGGAACTCA